AGTTTTCAAGCCAAACTAAGAATCTGAACGAGTGCTCAGCATTTCTCACAAAAACGGTGAGTGTTAGACCAGCAGGAGGCATGGTGGTTGAGGCACTGGATCCCACATGGCTGACGGCACTGTTTAAGTCCTGGACCTGGCAACTCGAAAATTATTCTGGGCACACATGTGCGAGCCCAAAATCCTGAGAATGGAGGAGGGACTGTGGCATGGCTATCTCCCTGGGGTGATCTCAAACTTTCTCTCCCTCTCTAGCAAGTACACATATCCTATGGCAAAAAAAAAAAAAAAATCTTAAAAATAACCTGCAGGGGGACCAGCAGTTAGTGTAATGGCTATGTCACTGGACTTCCACGTAGTCAACCACGGTTTGAGTCCTGGACTCGGAGGCTTAAACTCACGCCGGGCGCATGTGCATGCGTGCCCAAGATCCCAAGAGGAGAATGGAGGAGAAGGGATTGCAGCATGGCCATCTCCCCTGGGGGGTGATTTCCTGCTTTCTGTCTCTCTGTCTCTCTGTCTGGCAAGCGCACGTGCCCTATACCAAAAACCTCTCCAAAAAAAATAATAATAACCTGCGGGATATACGTACATGTATGCGCCAAATCCCAAGAATGCTGGAGGACTGTGGTGTGGCCACCTCTATGAGGTGATGACTCACTTCACTCCCACTCTCGGGTGAACAGGGGTTGGGGGGGATGGTGAGTGCTATTTTTTGTTTATGCCGAAGCCCTATACTGAAATGCAAAGTGTCCTACTCTTAACTCTCCTTTAGCCACTAATCTGGCTTAAAAAATGAGGGGTGCTGAAGTATCCAGAAAAGACAGTCTCCTCTTCCTGGTTCTTGGTGATGTACTCTCCCCTCTCTCCCTTTTCTATGGCTTGAGCTGTCAATCTTCCACTTTCAATCTTGCACTTCTGGTTTTCACAGACATTTTCACATTGTTCCTGCTGCCTGGGCTGAGAAGACCTTGGCCCAGAGGCAACACTACCAGGGCACCTGAGCTAGGAAAATGAATAGGCTTGAATTTGGAAGGCCCGGCATGATAGACTCAAATTACATTCCCAAAGAACCTGTGAAAGAAAGCCAATCAAATGACAGCTCCCAGGCTCATCTTCCCGCTGTCAGAATGCTCACCCTTGGGGCCAGCAGGTGGTGTGGTGGTTGGGACACTGGATTCCATATGATCAACTGCAGTTCAAGTTCCAGACCTGGCAGCTTGCTTTCCCACTTTCCCTTTCTCCCTCTGTGTGTCTCTCTGGTCAAATTAAAAATAATAATAAAATTAAATAATTCTCTTTTTTTAAGAGAGGTTTTGCTATAGGGCGTGTGTGCTCACCAGAAAGACAGAGAGACAGAAAGTGAGAAATCCCCCCCCAGGAGGAACGGCCACACCACAATCCCTTCCCCTCTGTTCTCCTCTCGGGATCTTGGACACGCATGCACACGCGCCTGGCGTTCTTTTTAAGTCAACGGTCCGGGACTCAAACCACGGTCAACTACATGGGAGTCCAGCAACATAGCCATTATGCCAACTGCTGGTCCCAAATTAAATAATTCTTAAAAAAAAAAATCTTATCCTACAGATAAAACAAGCTAGGCCTCAGTCCAAGGGCCCCCAGTATAATTTTTGCATCAGGCCCCTGGATATTCTCTGACCTCTACCCTCATCAGCAAACTACACTCTGGGGATTACATTCCCCCAGTTCTCCCTGGAGCCCCACCCAGGCACATCCGAAATATGGCAGCCTCAGTGGACATGTTCCTGGCCTGACAGAGCAACTGGACCTGAAGTGGCTCACGGCCAGACACCTGGAGGCTTATAGTCAAGGGAGCTGGAGCCATGTGCTAACCACTGTGTGTATCCTGGCCCTGGGGGCTTGGAAAACATGCAGAGTGCACATGCGAGTGTGCCAAAACTCTTGACAGGATGAAGAAATGGAGAAGGGATTGCGGCACTTCAATGGGGCGGGTATGTATATGTGTGTGTGTGTGTGTGTGTGTGTGTGTGTGTGTATCTAGTGAGTACATTCACCCTCTGGCAATTAAAATAAACATAAAAAAAGTAATTCTAGAGCCTTTGGAATGGGGAGGACTCCAAGGCAGCAAGGTAAGGCCCATGGGGAGATCGGGAGCCTTCACTGTCACCAGAAACACAAATGAGGTCCAGGCAGGCTGGAAGTAGCTAGGGCCTGGGTTCAGGCATGAGTCCTGCTCCTCCACAGGATGCCAGGGCAGTGGGGGTTGAGGGGGTGACTCAGCCAGTCGGGATGGAGGTGGACAGGGAGACACAGAGCACCCCAGCACTGAGCTGCATTGTGGCTGGGAGCCACGGGGAGGCCTCAGCTAAGACTAAACTCTCAGTGCTGCCTAGGACCAAGTCTCGAGGATCCCTGCAGAGCTGCTCTGGGCAGCCGGATGGGGCCGGGGAGGGGCAGGGACCTGGCACACACGGGCACAAGCACATGTCCTTCGCAAGACCAGGCACATGTGAGTGCGTGCCCAAGATCCCAAGAGAACATTCTCCAAACAGCAGAACTCATCCAGTTTCAGCAGTGACAATCTCCAGAGCAAACAGAGCTTGTTCTGGGGAAGGACAGGTCAGACTAAGGAAGCCATAGACCACCCCAGGAGGATGGCCCGTCACAATCCCTTCTCCTCCATTCTCCTTTTGGGATCTTGGGCACGCATGCACACGCGCCTGGCGTTGAGTTTAAGCCACCGGGTCCAGGACTCAAACCACGGTCAACTACATGGGAGTCCAGCAACATAGCCATCATGGCAACTGCTGGTCCCTATTTCTTCTTTCATAATAGCGTGTACACACACATGTGAGAAAGGGGGGGAGAGAGAGAGAGAGAGAAACATGAGCACCCGTCAAAGACCAGGTCATGGTCCAGCCACGCTGCGCTTCCCTTCCTCTAGTCCTCCAGCTGTCAGGTCTTGAGCACCAACTCACAGGGCTAGAAACCTAACCCATGGTTGCCACGTGGGATCCAGCTTCTCTGGAGCAGCACATCACCACTGCCGCAGGAGGTGGGGCTAGGAGCGGGAACCAACAGTTAGCGTAATGGCTATGTCGCTGGACTCCCACGTAGTCGGCCACGGTTCGCGTCCCGGACCCAGTGGCTTTTAACTCATGCTGGGCACATGTGCGTGCATGCCCAAGATCCCGAGAGGAGAATGGAGGAGAAGGGATTGCGGCGTGACCATTCTTGCTT